TCCCCTGTGCCCCTTCCCCTGTGCCCCTTCCCCGGTGCCCCATCGCAGTCCCACATCCCCATCCCCGTCCTTGTCCCCCATTCCCAGCCCTTTCCCCATCTCTCGGTTCTCGGGGCAGCTGCTCCCATGGTTGTCCCCCCGGGCAGTGGCAGGACCAGTTTTCCTTTTCAGCTCCCGTACCTGCCCTCCTCCCTCTGTCACAGCATCTTTCAGAAACCCTTTTCCTAGTGCCCAGAGAGGCGACAGGGAACCACAGTCAAGAACCACTCGTGCCCCACACTTGTCACTGCCATCCGTATCAGTGTCTGTCCCTCACTCCGCACTGCCGCGCTGCTCTTGCGCCCTGAGCTCTCTCGGGCCGAGGCCCGACGTGTCTCAGTGATCTCTGTCTCTCGGAGCACCTGAGAAGTGGTAAGTGAATCCCTGGTTTCACTGACCTCCCTTTCGGTTTTCTAGGCGGTCAGTGCGTTGGCTGGAGTTCAGGACCAGCTCATTGAGAAGCGTAAGTCACTTTTTCCTTTCTCTTGGAATTTGGGAAGAATTACACTTCTCTGCACCTTCAGCTCTGCCTCTGCCTGCCCGGGGACCTGCAGCTGCTCCCGGGGGCTCCCAGCACCGCCTCTGGCCACACGGCAGCAAAGTGGCACTGGGAGAAACACAAGTAAAGTTGAGCTTTCTTTCTCGAGTAAGCTTTTATGCTCAGTAAGAGTTTATTGTGCATAAAACTTGTTTAAATAGATTTGGTGCTCTCTGGAGGAGGTTAGACGAGCTGAAGCTGAAGCAAGGCCTCTCTGTTCGTGTCTGGGGGTCGGTTGCAGGTAACATGGAGAGGAGCCACTTCATGATTTTTAGAAATTTTTTTATAATCGGTACCAATCTGGTGCAGTTCTAGCCCGCTCCAGTGACGGCGGAGGGAGCTTGCTGTCCTTCAGAAACATTTTTCAGGTTCTTCTATCAGCCTCCTGGCCGTAAGCCTGTGTCTCTTGCTGGGGGTCGTTTCCTCCCCGCAGGGCTTTGCCGGGGCCGGGGGCTGCGGGGGGGTGACCCTTGTGCTGGTCTCTTTGTCACGCTCCAGGGGAGCCGGGCAGTGGCACGGAAAGTGACACTTCTCCAGACTTCCACAACCAAGAGAATGAGCCCAGCCAGGAGGATGCTGAAGAGCTGGATGGGTCTGTGCAGGGGGTGAAACCCCAGAAAGCTGCTTCCTCCACTTCTTCTGGGAGCCACCACAGCAGCCACAAAAAACGGAAGAACAAAAATCGGCACAGGTTAGTGGTACCAGCAGCCTTCTTGTCGTGCCTCTGAATTGGTTGTTGGTGAATTTGCTGTATTACGTGAACTAGTCACTCGTTAGAATAACGGGCAGCTCAGGTCGTTTGTTCTGGTAATTCTTCTGGTTTTTATTCGTACGCACCCTGTAGCATTCACCAGGACCCCGTTGCCCCTGATGTGTCAGGGAGGGGAAATGATGCTGAAGGAGTTACCCAGGCAGCCCAGGGTGCTGAGTCCAGCTCCGGTGCAGCTGTGCTGGTGGCCGGGCTGTTCCGTGCTCCTGCCTGTGCGGGAGGGTCGAGCTGGCTTCCCGCCCTCCTGCCCTCCCGTACTTGCTCCTTGGCTTCTGCAGAGCCAAGTAAGAAGGAAAGTCAGTACGTGCTTTGGAGACAGGGGGTGAAAAAGCAAACTGGAATGTGCTGGGGCTTGTGAACGCCCCCCAGTCTCTTCACTAAGATTTCCACTCCAAGCCCTTCCAGCCATCGTGTCCCAAGCCGAGGTGATCATGGCATAGAAGAGTTGCTTTGCCACGTTCACCTCAAAGCGCTTGTTATTAAACTGACCTGAAATTCCTGTGAAACAAAGCTTGCCCCGACTCCTTAGGGCTGGGTTCAGGTGAGCAGTTCTGCCCCTCCAGGTGTGCCCCTGGACTGACAGCTCAGAAATCTGAAAGGAGCTCCGTGCCTTGCGGTGTGGCTCACCACGGGCTGACCTGCTGCTTGCCCAGGTCTCGGGGCCCCTCAGCAGAGCTCGCCCAAGGCTTCCTGCAGCGCCTGCAGCGCGCTGGGGAGTCAGGCCCTGAGGGGAAACCCCGAAATCCGAGCTCCTGGAAAGAGGAGACATTTACTGCAGAACTGCACCTCTCTGGAGGTGGTTGCTGGAACCCGTACCCAGAGATTATTAGCAGTAAAGAACCTTTTAAAAGTTGTGTTCTCGCTGGATTTGTGTATGGATGGGCTTTCCCCTTCAAGGGACCTTCCCATGCAATTGCAAAAGAGAAGTGTTTTAAAGAAAAGTGGTTAAAATTTCCCAAGATTGCTGTGGGAAGGTTGGTTTGGGAGATACGGAGGTAGGTAATAGCGCTTGAAAAATGCTTAACTGCCTTTTCTCCTTCAGTAGGTGTTGAGCCATTAGCACGCCTTTAATTCTTAGGTCACAGTTTTCTTCCTACAGCAGTCTTAATTGGGCAAACATCCCAAAGTGCTGGATGTCCCTTTGGTTCCCCATCAGCTGGGAATCCAGAGCAGTTCAAAACTTTTTTTACCTGTAGGCAATTGGAAAGAAGTTCAGGAGTAACACAAGGCACTACGTCTGTAAACAAGTTCAGAGAAACAGCCTGTAAAGCTGAAGTACAGCTTAAGAAAATTGCTGTTTCAAAGAAATTATGAAGTGTTCTGCTAAGCACTTAGTGAACAAGCCACTGCAGACGCAGCGGGGTGCAGTACAAATGCTGTAAATAATACCAATTCTTTTGCTCCATGACGTAACCTGAACTCTAGCGACAGGAGTTAGGAAGAAACTGCCCTACTGCCAGGTTGTGTGGCTTTGGGGTTTCTTCTTCTTCCCTTCCACGGAAGCAGCTGGTGCTGGCTACTGTTGGGGACAGAGTGTTGGACATGAGGAGCCCTGTCTGATCTGGTACGGCAATTCTCATCCTCCTAAGAGATGCGGGACACACCTAATTATGGAAAGCCTTAGCAAGTTAGTCCTTGACTACTTTGTAATGCTTAGCCTGGCCAGATAGGTAATTAAGAGAAGAAGATAACTTAGTCCGTCTGTAATAAAAACTCTGTTAAAATTGCGATTGTCATTATTGACTACGCCCTAAATTTTGGCAGAGAAGACCAAACAAGTTTCAAATTGATCTAGGTTTAAAAAAAAACCCCAACAACAGAACAGCCCTGGTCTGTTGAAAGTCCCGTGAAGGGCTTTAAGACGCAGTGCAGCCCAGAGCGCGCTTTGGAAGAGACCCACGTGTCTGTGAAAAAGAGGGAAATAAAAAGAACATTGGCATTTCCTTTCGTTCAGAAGCTCTTCCACGTGCCAGCGTCCGTCTGAGTTCTGCTCACGTGTTCCTGGCGAGCTGGGAGCTGCCGGGAGCAGGCACCGGGGGGGGCACTGGCCCCCTGGGTTTTCTGCCGCCCAGAGCAGCGTGGAAGGTTGGATTCGGACTGGGCAGAACTGGTGGGAATAGGTGGTTGGGCTTCGAACAGCCGAAAGTGGGGAGTCGGTGGGAGTTGCAGGGATTTACCGAGGCCGCGGGAAGGCCGAGCGGAGGGTTTCCTCTTGGTGCAGCGCTGGAGCTGCGGGGCTGGGGCTGGGGCGAGGGTCGGCCCTTCCCCACACGCAGAGCCCGGGGACGGGGGGGTCACCAGACCGCCGTTAGCTTTGGCCAGCTGACCCCGCGCTCTCGTAGCCCCCGGCCGGAGGCGGGTGCACGAGGGCGTGTGAGTGCGTGTGCGTGGTCGGGGGCTCGAGGGCAGAGCTGGCCCCCGAGCTGCGTGTCTCCCCCTCTGCCCCGGCTCGCTTCGCTTTGCTGCCGTAACCTGGAGAAGGCTCCTGCTTCTGCCACCCGCTCCTCGGGCTCCGCCACGACCCCCTTTGCTCTGCCGGGGAGCCAGGGCACGCTCGCCCCCCCGAGAGCTGCTTCCCCCGCACCCGAGATCCCCCCTAAACCCCCCCGCCTCTGGCCTAACTCCTCTTTTTCCCAGAAATCCGACTGGGGAGGGGGACTCCGGATTGCCAAATCTGGAGTGCTTTTCCTGCCCACTTCTGGTTAAGATATCTTAAGAACTTTATGGCATTTGAACACTGGCTTTATTATTTATTTTATTTTATTTTATTTTTTAGTAATCTCGCTAGGGTGGCTAATCAACTAATTTATTTAATTCATTAGTATATTAATTTCTATTGCTTTCTTCCTTTCAAATGCTGCCCCTCAGCCCGTCTGGCATGTTTGATTATGACTTTGAGTAAGTTTGACTTGAATTAGTACTTGTGCTGTGTTGTTAGTGTGTAGACACCAATGTGCCTTTTGAGACCTTTCTAACCCATAGTTTATCTGTTTAATTGTAGGTATGTATATTAGGTTAGGCTGGGAAGTTTTTTTTAAAAACAGAAAAGCGTGATGGAGGTAACATTTTATTTAATAACTTCAGCAAAATTAAATTAACTTCACTCTCCTTTACCTTTCTATTTCATTTTAAAATAGATAAACTGTTTAACATAAAAACTTAGTTTAAAAACTTGATTCTTCTGGCTTTGCTTCTTAAGGAGATTAGTGTAGACTTGGATATTTCCTTCTGGAAAAATGTAATAAACTCAATTCCTTTGACTCATATCATCCCTGTCATCCTAAACTCCTGTCTCTATTCCGAGTAAATAACCACTACCACTATGTCTGAGTAATGACTTGTGGCATAGTTACACGTCTAACAAATTAACATAGAGCATGCGTATTTAACCTTATTTCTTTATGCTGCATAACTTCCCTGTGATTTTTATTATAAACCTTGATTAATTCTTTTTTCTGAGTGGACGGAATTTACCTTTTGGCAAATAATAAAGAATCCACTCCCTGTCTCTTTGCTGCTCTCTTGTCCAGTAGCACTGGGACAGTGATTTGGCTCAGCCGAATTGAGAATGTGGATTGAATTAACCAAATAGTCTTTGTTGTAGCCTGTGCCATATGCAGTAGCTGGTTCTTTGAACTCTAGTGTTGGTTTAATGTATTGAAATGGACGTTTCTCTTATCTTTCCAACCACAGGATTGATCTCAAGTTAAACAAAAAGCCAAGAGCCGTAAGTATCAGTGCTCTGTCATTGTTTTCATTGCTCATCTGTAGACTTGAGTGGCTGACTGACTCCTAAGCTTATAAAGCCTCCCTCTGCTGTAATTTAAGACCTTATTTTCATGGTTGAGGAATATCGTGGTATGAACTAAGCATTGTCTCGTGGATTTAACAGTAAATCAGCCCAGGCAGGCTCGTGGTGAGGCTAGGTCACAGTTAAGTCCTGTGCACTTTTGATGAAAAAAGCTGGTTTGCATCCTGTTGTCACGATCTGGAACGTTAGAAGCATCCGGTTTTGGTGGTTGTGTTCTTGACCTGAGGTTCTGAAGGGTCCTTTCTTTTGAATGTTTAGCTACAAGAAAAAAAAAAAAAAAATCTCTTTTTCTGTTTTGCCTGCAACTAATGGTGTGTAGAAATGAGAGAAGGCTGAGAATCCCACCTCTGCAAGCAGAACTGAAGGCAGAAAGGTCATGACGTGCCTGTCCTTTGCTTCCTCTGCAGGACTACTAGACTCATCAGCACTGATGCTCCTGGGATTTAGGTCTCCATGAACCCACTGAGAAAAACGCCAGCCGACGAACGAGCACGACGGCAGCTCTGGCCAAGTGTCTGCAGATGCGAGTGGCTCGCTCTAAAGAACTTAGATGGGGGCAGAAAATCTTGGACCATGTACTTTGCATCATTTTTTAAATCACCTGAGTTGCAGGAAGACTAAGGTGTAGTCGTAGTGGTAGCCCTGAATTCCTGACTGTTCCGCGCTTCCGCCTCAGTCGGGAGCTTCCCCAGATCAGCTGGTCTTGCTGCTGCCGCCCGTCATCTGCAAGCCCACGGAGAGGTGGTTTTCTCTTTCCACTGGAACTGGGGTAGGAGTCAGTAATGTCCCATCCATGTTGTAAGACTTAGATTACTTCTGTTGCCGATACATAGCTTTGTAGTTTTATTTTTGTTTTGAGGGGGTTTTGTTGTTGTTTGTTTTTTTTTTTTAAACCAAAGTGTATAGTTAGCAAATTGACTTTCGGTTCCTTTTAATCCCTGTAGAGTGGAAGGTTCTTCATTTTGTGCGACAGCTCGTTTTGATTCTTACTCGAGCAGAGAAGAAGGGGGTTAACCCTTTTCTCTAACGTTAATTTTAAACACCATCCCCTAAAAATTCACGCAGTGCTTTTAGATGCAGGGAAGGCTGGAGCTCGAAGCCATCTTGCTCTTTGCTGCCTTTGAGGCGGGGTGGATTCTCTTTTTAATGCACACTTCTGTCATTTGTACATAAACAATAAAGTTACATGTTTGTCTCTTCTCATGTTTTGTTCAGTCCAAAATTTGACTCCTGGTGCTTTTTATCCTCCGCCTGCTTTATGAGGGCTGTGCTGGAGTTCTTCCCCTTTGGCAGAGTGGTTGTTCTTGTCTCGTAACCCTTCAGGAGGTTCCTCGGTGCCGCCTTTCCTCGGGTAGAGGTAACGCTGGGTGCTCGGGGGGGTCGCCAGGAGCTGCAGCTGTGGGCACTGCTTCGCTCCCAGGTAGGACCTGGGTGTCCGTCAGTCCCTGCTGCCACGGGTGGAGGGGGGGTGCTGGGTGCTGGGCGCTGCTCAGGGGGGCCAGGTCAGGACAGCCCTGCTGATGCTGGAATCGGCTTTGCTTTTCTCAGGGGGGTAAATAGCCTCAGTCGCGCGTCCTCTGTCTTGTGCCACGGGCGCGGCGTCGCCTGCCTGGTGCTGCCCTGCTCCACCCCCGCGGTCCTGGGGCTGCCCCAGCACCCCCGGCAGGGCCCAGCGGGACTCGAGAGCGGTGGCAGAAGGATCACGGTGAAGTTCTCCCTTGTGCTGCCTCCTGGGCGGGGGTCGAGGCGGCTCCGTGGTTGTTCGTGGTGGGAGGGGTGAGCTGCGGGCAGTGGGGGCTGTCGGGTGGAACGGCTTGAGAGCAGCAAGGCTGCCCTACTTGTGGTTTAAGGTACAAACACGGGGCTGGAGGGGCTGGGAAGCGGCATGAGCTGCTAAAGGCCTCGCTGTCCCACAGGTCCGGAAAAGAGAAGTCTTAGCTGGGGGGTTTGATTACTTGGCCTTGGTACAAAAGCCGTTGGTCTCCTGCTACTGCTGCTGTTC